GGAGGAAGTGCAAACAGGAAGCAGAAAGAAGGAGGAAGTACCAAGCAGACTGAGGCTCCGTCTGGGAGGGGGAGGAGGAGTGGGGGGGTGGAGAGAGTTCCCCCCCCTCCGAGAAATATCCACATCGACCAGAGAGACCGTCTCACCTGGACACAGGTGTAAGCAGAGAGAGGAAGGGGTTAGAGGAGCGAGGGAAAGATTAGTGAGCAGAGTGATCAGCTGACCTGATGAGTCATGTGATCAGACAGAAGCAGAGCTGAGAGGTCCAGGGGGCGTGTCCGGAGCGAAACAGGAAAAAAGTTTCGTTTTTCAGAATAAAACATAAATAATAATCGATTAACAGCCGATTGGTCCCCGGGCCGCATGTTTGACACCGTGAAGCAGAGGAGTCTCTGACCCGGCCCGACTGTGACCACCGTCAGGTCTGCACAGCCCCACACCGCCCCGCCCCCAGCCCCTGGCTCCACCCACACACACACTGGAGCACCCCACAAGTTTGGGAGGACCAAAACTGTCAAATTCAGAAATAAATTTGTAAATAAATTAAATATGAAAATTATTTTCTTAAAAACATACCTGGTGTATTTAATGTGACATTTCTGATCAGAGGCAGGTCACATGACACCTGAGTTTTACCTGCCCTCTGCTCACCTGGTCTCGCACATTAAAGAGCGGCTGCAGAGCACGCGTGAACGAGCTGCTGACAACAGTCACACAAACTCAGGTAAAAACATCTCACCTGTTCACCTCTCACACTCACAGCTGTGTGGACTCACCGGTGAAAGCCGGGGTGAAGGGCACCGGAGAGAAGGCACTGTGAGGTCTGGATACCTGCAGCCTGAAGACACAAACAACACCATCAGCACCACCACCTTCATCCTGACTGCAGAGCGAGGCACGAAGGCTGTAACGCTGCAACATGTTCGTATCCATGGGAACGATCTTCAGTGAGAATCAGCAACCAGCCGACTCCACTCAGAATAAACATTTCAGGACACTTTGATGCTTTAAAGCACAGGTGTTGAACTCCAGGCCTCGAGGTGTCCTGCAGGTTTAGGATCTCACCCTGGGTCAACACACCTGAATCACATGATCAGTTCATTACCAGCCTCTGGAGAACTTGACGCATGCTGAGGAGGTCGTTTAGTCATTTAAAGCAGCTGTGTTGGATCAAGAACATCTAAAACCTGCAGGACTCCGGCCCTCGAGGCCTGGAGCTCGACACCCTGCTTTAAAGTTTGTTCAGATCTAAAGTGACGCCGTCAAACACCAGCATGACACAAAAACACGCCCTGCACCTGCCGACAGGCACCGCCGCTCGCTGTGGTCTGTGGACAGCGACTGCCTTGTTTCACACTACGGTCAGTGTGACTGTGGGGGTGAAAGGTCACGTGAACACCATCACACTGACTGCAGGTGAGCAGGTGAGTTGTGTCAACACAAACTAACCTGCTGCTCGAGGAAGCTTCCTGAGCAGAGTTTCACTTCCTGTGTGCCGACAGGTAAAGTCACACACCTGCCCAGGTGCTTTCAGTATCCATGGTTACAACAATACACCCCACTAATCTGTCACATGATCAGAGACTTTCACTGTGAGCTGCACAGGAAACGAAACATGAAGTCAGAAAATCCCCCGCTTCGAGGAAACAGGAAGTGAGTCACCGATTCGCTCTGATCTGTTCTGTGATGTCAGAGAAACTAATCAGCTGATTGATCAATACTACCTGATCAGTTTGGACCTCACCTGCCGTCCTGGTCTGGGTTGCTGCAGGTGGACCCCCACACGTCCAACAGGCTGCCCCCCGACGACGTGGACGACGCTAGGGACGGCCTCTTGTCCAGCAGCCCCCCCGAGCCGCCACTCGAGCTCTTGGTTCTGAATAGCTTGCTGAGCCGGACCTTCAGCGACCCCCCCTTCCTCGACTTCCCCCGGGGCATCTTCTCCCCCTCCCTTCCTCTTGCACCCCCTTCCCCCTCCAGGACCACCAGAGGGGAGGCTGACCGACCCGCTCCCCCAGAAGCCACACCCAGTTTGGGGGTAGCGGCACGGCTCTGGGGCTGGGAGCGCGACTGGTGCTGATGCTGTGGGCGAGGGTCAGAGGATGGGAGGGGGTCGGGGAGCGCCGCAGCAGCCTGGGAGAGTGGCAGGCGGACAGGCAGGTACGGGCAGGGGGTGGCGGTGCTGCCGATGAGGGGCTGGGGGTCCATGCAGGAGGGGAGGGACACGGTGGCGCCGAGAACGGCGAGTGAGGACCGGCAGCTCTGATCTGTGCACACCCCCGCCTCCTCTGCCAGTCTGTGCACCTGCCGCATCAGCCCGCTGAGAGTCCCACTGGAGAACACAGTCCCCGCCCCCCCAGGCGTCCCTGCACCCACCACCCGCTCTGTTTTCTCTGTGTCCTCCCCCTCCGCATCCCCGGACTCTGCCGCGAGTCCCCCCACCTCCTCTGACCCCAGACCCTCCAGGACCAGCAGGGCGTCGCTCGTCTCGCTGGGGTCCTCGCCAGGCCCGATGCCCCCGGACCCCGAGGCCAGAACGCCATGGCAGGAACAGCGAGGAAGCGAGAGCACCAGTTCCTGCCCGCCACTTCCTTCCCTCACCTCGCCCGGGTGTACTGGCCTCTGCGCCGGAGCCAGGACCGGGTCTTGACACCTGGGGGGGCAGGTCTTCCTGGGCTCCAGCAGCCCCGCCCGCAGGGCTTGGTCCAGCAGGCCCGGGGGCCACTTAGCCAGCCGGTCTGTCAGCAGGTGGTGTGTGTGGCACAGGACTGACCCGGACTCCGAGTCCAGAGCCGGGACGCCCCGCTGGGGGGCCTGGGAGCCCAGCCTCAGGACCGGGTGCCATTGCAACAGCTGCTGCGGCTGCAGGTTTTCCTGCGCAGGGGGGTTCTGGTCCTTTCCTCCCCCGGGACCCGGTGTCGCGCTGCCAGGACCCGTGCCCGGCACCGGGTCCAGCTGCTGTCTCTGTCGCTCTGCCTCCTCCTGCAGGAAGCCAGGGGGCGGCTGCTCCAGCCCGCACTCCAGGATCCGGTCTCCGGACCGCAGCAAGTTCTGGAGCACCATTAGCTGCGCTCCGTGCCCCGCAGAGCCGTGCCCGCGCGGCACCGGGAAGTCCACAAAGTCCTCGGACGGAGGGGGCGACAACGGCGCCTCGGAGCCTGACGGGGCGTGCGTCAGCCCCAGCCCGCCGCTCAGCTCTCCTTTCCCGGGCAGCGGGGAGCTGTAATGCGGGGAAGCCGAGCCGAGGCCTGCCGAAGGGCCGCCAGAGTCCACATCGAACCCGCCGCCGCGGCGGCCCAGCACGGCTTTGACGGGGCCGAACCCGCCGCCCCCGGACATCAGGTCGTCGGGGTCGTCCAGCCGGTCGTACTCCGCGGCAGACACGAGCCGCATGAGCACGAAGTCCGGAGACATTTCTTGCTGCGCGTCATTCATGGCGGCGGCTAACGTTAGCTGCGCGGCTAGTCGCTCCGCTCTTACATAACAGCTGCGGGGCTAACGGCTAGCTGCTAGCTGCTGCCGCATCTCCCGGCAGAGCTACCCGGGCCGCCGGCAGCGCACAGCCGCGGACATGTGAAGTCCGGTCCGGTTTGTGACGGCGAAGGCTCCGCTGGACGACGTCAGAACATGAAGGAACGAGAGAAACGAGCCCGGTGCCGCCGCTCCGTGACGTTAGCTGTTAGCCTCCTAAAGACTCCTCATCCTCCGGTCAGACAACACGGCGGGAGGCGGGGCTGCGCACGCAGGATCGATCACCGATCATAGCTAAACGATTAACGGAGGGAACCGAACACCTGCCGGGATCTGACAGCCTCATGATGATGATGACGATTGTTGTCGTTTATTGAGGGAAAATGAAGATTTATGGAAAAAAAAATCGCTTTTAGTGGATCACTTTAAAATTTTAATGTTGCGAACAGTAGTAAAGTTTTATTTCATTTAATTATTATGCAGTAATATACAGGTATTATTTTTAATTATTGTTTTTCAGTTGGTTGGATTTTTTAATGATTTCTTTTATTGTTTCTGTTTTTTATATTTCTTCTTTGAGTTTATAAAATATTATTAATATACTTATTTTACTTATCTGTGTTGTGTCTGTGTGTTTTAATCAATGACTGGTTTCTACAGTCATTGGTTTTAATTCATCCACTCATACAGTTCCTTTTTTATTTTGGTGTGACGCGTACTCTCTGGGCTGTTGCAGCTTTTTCAGGGGAGTGTTTGAACTTTATTTAAAAAGTCGCTGCGAGCAGGGTTCGAACCTGCGCGGGGAGACCCCATTGGATTTCAAGTCCAACGCCTTAACCTCTCGGCCATCGCAGCAGCCGGAGAGCAAGCGAGTTGACCGGGAAACTGAAGCTAATGAGTGACGTCAGAGGCCTCTCCAACAGTCAATAACTTGTTTGTTAAACGCAGACAGAGGCTGACGAGTCGATAACTGAGGTCCGATGACCACGTAAAGAAAAACAAAAAGTGAATCATTGATTCTCGAGGTCACAAAGGTGGTTCATCAGAAACAACCTACGGACCAATCAGATCAATGGAAAACATCATCATTCCCAAAAATCCCTCTGAGGTCTGAAGGAGAAAGTCAGGGTCTCAAAGTAAGGCCCGTGGGTGGTCATCATTGAATTATTAGTGTATGGCTCATCGACAGGAGGTGGCGCTGCTGCTCTCACCTGTGCTCGTAGCAGGAACACCTGAGCTGAGCTACAGCAGAGATCAGGGAAACTCAAAGCTCAACAGGTGAGCCTCTAGAGCCCACAGGTGCTGCTTTGGCAAGCGAAACAGAAAACCTTTCCATTATTGTGCGTTTCTCATTTTTCAGCTGTTTCCACAGCAACAGAGAGCTGGTTTATCATTTCTATTGTGTGTATACGCAGGGCAGGGTGTCCAACATGTGGCCCGGGGTCCAGTCCGGTGCTCAGTGACAGCCAAAACCAGGTTTTTAACCCTGCTGTGCCAGGACGCGCTGCAGAAACGCTGAACCATCCAGAACACATTTAGAAAGATTTAAAGGATATTCCGTAACGCTGAGCGCATAACGAGCCGCTCACCGTGGAGGCGACACGTGAAGCACGCCGAGCCAGCCCGTCACCCCTACCTGCAGATTCTTATGAATAACTCATTTCCACACACACAGGCCCGGCGAGCTTTACAATAGCTTTTCATGTTGATTTTATAGCACTGCTGCAGAGGTTGCGCCAGCCTTTAGCAGCACGTCTGAGCACCGCTGGGACCTGAATCCTCAGTGTTGTACTTTAATGTTTTAAACAAAAGTCGCAGCTCACCTGTACTCAGGTAAAATCAGGAGTTTTGTGAATGCAGTCTGGTGCAGAGGAAGAGCGTTTGTGTTTTGAGGCAAAGCAGATAAAATAAAACACTCATGAGGTCATGTGACACCACACACTGCTTCACCCATCGCATCAGGATTTGACTTGGTTGAGCCCTGAGGGAGAGCAGTGAGAGGCTTTTATTTTGTCAGACTCCAGCAGGAAGCAGTAGCGGCGTGAAGAAGCAGCAGACGGTCAGTACAATATAGACTTTATTAGTTCACTAAAGTTGAATATGAAAGAAAAAGCAGATCGGCTTCAAATGATTCACAATTCAGAAATAAAAGTTTCAGGTTCATGTCAACACAGGAAGTGCTTCCTCCCTACAGCTGCCGCGCCTCTACAAAATAAAAGCCTCCGAGGCCAGAGCCACTTTGCTTTCAGTGACCATATTTACCAACTGAAAGCAAAGCTCTCCGGCCGTAGAGGCGGCACTGAGCGCGCTCTGCAGCGTTTAAGCTTCGTGTCATTGTTGGGTTTTTTGTTGTTTTTCTTAAAACCGTCCCAACAGGAAGTCACCCGGTAGCGAGGAGCGACCGCCTTACTGCTACTGAACAAGCCATAAAGTGAGTTCCAAAAAACAAAAATCATGGTTCTTTGTAGCGTCGAGTAAACAAACCAACAGCGGGAGGCAGCCAGAGCTCAGCGTCCAATCAGCAGAGTCCAAACGTTTGAGTCCAGGAGTCCGAGAAGAAGAGCGAAAGCACAGAAGAGCTCGGGGAATGTTTTGTATCACTTTAACTTTATTTTCATCATAGCAATGGAAAAATAGAACCTCATACAAACGTCTTCAATCATCTGAAATCTTAACAAGCAAAAAGGTGAGTGACCCGTTCCCAAAGCAGGCGCGGCGGCGAGGAAACCCGAGGCAGCTCGCGGCACTCGCTCACGCCCGGGCTAAACTATTCCCATTTGGCACTCGCTCCTCTCAGCATCGTTTCGGCTTTTATTTTGAAGGAATTTAGTGCTGCCGTTGTTTGGAGGAGACCGAGCGGGCGGAGGCGTCCGTCCCTCACAGCTCCGCCGCCATGTTTAGTGCTCAGAAGAAGAAACGTAAGAGCAACAAAAATCCAGTTTTCCACAGAAGAAGTAGTCCACGCAGTCACTCGATCAGCTGATTCCACACAGTTCCCCTCCTCCCCCTCCCCCTGAGCGGGGGGGTGGCGGCGGCAGGTCGGTGACATCATCACGATGTCATAGGAGAGCCCAGCTACAGCGAAAGAGGCGGATCGCGGGCAGAGGCGGGGGAGGAGTGGAAGGAGAGGGGGTTTCTTTAAGGGGGAGGAGTCACAGTCCAGTCCACAGGCCATCCAAGAGGGGAGGGGGAGGGGGCGGGGTCATCGCCTGCAGGAACTGAAGGTGGTGTGATGTCATCATCTCTCGCTCGCTCACACGTCTCTCTCTCGCGCTCACACACAGACACTCATCTCTTCTTCTGCTGCTTCTAGCGAAACGCCGACAAACACAGAAGATTTAATCCAGCGGCCGATTTGTCCTCAGTGATGTCATCCGAAGTCTCATCTCGCCCTGACACGACACCCGCCATCTGCAGGAGACACAGAGAGAGGAGGGGGAGGGGGGAGGGTTAGAGAGGAAGTGGAGCAGAGAAGCCACGGGAAGCGTCGCAGCATGGCTCCACCCTCACCAGGCCTGGCTCTTCAGCTTGCGGAGCTCCTTGGTGGCCCAGGTGGCGAGCGTCTTGGTCTTGGTGGTTTTGGAGCGCCGGCCTTCCGTCAGCAGGTCGTTGATGAGCGGGCGAACCTCCACCAGCTTCATCACATCTTTGCCAAATGCTGTGCACAGGTCACTACGGGACACACACGTCAAACAAACTTTTAATGTGAAAAGAATCTGAGCTCTCACGCTGGAGCATCGCCAGGGTAACCGTGCTGGTCTCAGAGGTTGCGGTTTGTTTTCCATCACGCCATCAGCGTGGTGCATGATTTCTCTTCACCGACCACAACGCCTTAGACTTTGAACCATGTGACCCTCACTGATCAGCTGTGGTGCAGACCACAGGAAGTTTAGCTCCTTCAAAATAAAACCATAAAAGCTGCTCTGTGATTTCTGATCTGAGCATGAAGTGTTCTGGGGTAAAGGAACCCTCTGATTGGCTGTGACCTCCTGATAAGATCTCCATGTTGGACCAACATGGTCGAGCTTCAGCTCCGCCCCCTGCTTACCCGATGAGTCCGGCAGCGTTGGCCACCACGCCGTCAGAGTGGTCCTCGTCTTCGGCGATGTGGTGGATGAAGGAGAGGATGAACTCCACCCGAGGCTGCACCAGCATCACGTCGGCTGCAGGGGTGGAGAGGAGACGAGGGTGAGACAGCAAGTAAAGCAAACAGGAAGTTGTTTTATTTGTTGGGTCCCGCAAAACCAGGAAGCTGTGAGTTCGGCGGCAGCCTGAAGCTTCCCGGGTGAAAAGGACCCACGTCTGTCTGCGACGTCACTAAAGCCTCCTGCTGACTGCAAGCAGGAAGAGGAACTGACGTCGCTGGAGCTGTGGTCATGTGATCACAGCGATAACCGTTAGCCCCAGACGCCCGAGGACAGACTGTCCGTGTGTGTCCTTACGGTGGACGTTCTCCTGGTCTCCCTTCAGGCCCTGGATGATGCCGGTGTAAGCCTCCAGGCAGCCCTCCCTCAGCTCGTTCAGGTAGTCCACCATGTCGTAGTCCGTCTGAAACACAGGTTCAGGTGTGTCAGGTGAACTCGGACAGACAGGAAGTAAATCTGTGAGGTCAGAGGTCTCAGATACGCGTGGTTGGTTTTACATCACGGTCAGCGTGGTGCATGAGTTTTCATCACAGACGTCTGAATCTAAGCTGAGCGTTTTTAAGTGTCTGTTCAGACATCTGTGAGGGGGCGGGGCTTTACCTTGTCCACCTGAGCCTGCGATGCCTGCTGCAGGGTGTCCAGGACGATGTCCAGGTACTTCTTGAACTCGCCCCCGATGGCCAAAGCGATGTCGCCAAACGCAGAGAGGATCTGAGGCTTCACCGACCGGTGCACATTCTCGTTCTGTAAACAGAGCAACGTTTAACATCTGCACACCTGAGAGGGTCAGACAGGTGAGGGTCAGACAGGTGAGGGTCAGACAGGTGAGGGTCAGACAGGTGAGGGTCAGACAGGTGAGCAGCACGGCAGCTGTTAAATGTCCATCAGGTGATCAAACAGAACCAGAGGAAGGAGAAGTCTGGGATCAATAGGCCATTAATAATCAATAATCCACACCTGTGGACAGGTGCTGCTCGGCACACCTGGATCATCATGTGACTGTGGGTCAGAATATCTGGACCCTGTGAGGGGCCGACTGGAGCTAATGTGTGGGGTCAAAGGTTGAAACTGAATTTCTACAGCTTCACTGATATCAGAGCAGCCAGCTAACGGCGCTGTGGCCCACAC